GCACACCTAGCAAGGTGTGCCAGGGCACACCTAATTATTTGCGTAGTCTAGGAGCCCCAAGGCCCCCAACTATGTGAGCCACTAACTCCTTCTCTAGCGCTATAGAGTGACGGTTCAGCTCCGATTCTACACACCCAAATTTCATAGTCTTTGGTCCGCTATCCCAATCATGATTTTCCTACCCTCAAAGACACTGTTAGGTTGCAATTGATATATTTTGATTTGAGAAAAAAAAAATGGTTGGAGACTGAAATTAGTCTATACATTAATGATTCTTATAGTATTAAATTATTTATATGATATAAAGAATAATAGTTAATTTTGAGGCAATAAAGGAATATTATAATATATTAGTAATCCCTCCTTATATATTAATTCAAAACGTGTTGAGCCTAGGTGACAGATTCTCACGCTTTGGATGTTGATATGACGAAAATCTATGTTTCGTAATGTTGTTTTTATATTTTTTTGCTCTGAAGTTAGTTTTTATATTAAACATAAACAACTTTATTACACATATATTCATTAACTCAACACCCATGTTGTACATGATATTAGTACTAGTTAACTTTTAATTTACAAATTGTACTGAAAATTCAAAAAAGATAAAAAGAGAGACGAATGAACTGTGTGCTACGTTGTTGATCTTTTTTTTTGTGATGGACGCGTTTAAATTGCCCCAATAATATTTATTTTATTTCATTTTCTATCTCAGTCTTAACATTATTTCTATAATAATAAGCTAATTTCCTAATTGGCTGGTAATACTGGCGTGCAATGTTATATGATATATATTGGTACGACTTAAAAAAAATGATTATCAACTAACAAATGCACTAGTATTAAGGTCATATTTTTATTTTAAATCATTATCTCATTCCATAAAAGCATGAAATCGAGCTTGAGTTTATGATAGTTAAACTCGCTCGAGCCTTCATCGAGCCGACTCAAAATTGGCTTGCGAAATAATCAGGGGCGAAGCCAGCCTCAAATTTCACCGGGGTCGGCAATATTTTTTAGCGGGGTCATTAACCTAGTAAACAGTGTTTGAACAGTATTTTATACTAAAAATTTTGAAATCCATAGGGGTCAGCTGACCCCAGCCACAAGGTGTGGCTCCGCCACTGGAAATAATATGGCGAATAAACGAGCTCCAAATTAACTTATTTATCTAATTAACGAGTTCATTTTGGAGTTTAACGAACGGAAGTGAGATAATTATAACTCCTGAAACAATGTAAAAACTCATATTTCTCGAGCTTAACAACCCCTATGTAAAAGGTAAAAACCCACGAGCTGAGGTAATAACTTACGAAACCACATCGAAACCCCCTTTTTTTTTTCGATCTTAACGACCACGTACGTAAAAACCAACATACACTTTATACTCTCACTAAAATATGAAACTAATAATATCAAGCTTATAAATTAAACAATCATATTGACAATATTTTGTGCAGATACAGGACAACAATGCATCTAAAGCACATAAATTTTACTCCAAATTTCAAAAACAGAACAAACAAGATAAATAAAACCCAAAATGAAGCTAGATAATCAATGAAATTAAATAAAAAAAATTAAGCAATTCTTGCATCAGAATCAACCAGCAGTGTCCACAGAGCATGAACATCTTCACACGAACACGACTTTACATCATCGTACAGAACATGTATTCCTCTGCCTATAACCAATAAAAAAAAACCCCATAAATAACATAAACACTAGGGAAAAAAAAAACAATACTTCAGA